TTAGAAAGGAATCTTGAATACCAGACAGAATTCTGAATTTCAGAGACTATCGAATCAGAATTCCCCAAGAAGCGCCAGGGCCAGGAAAGGGAAACGGAGTTAGAAAGGAATGTAATAAGGAATTTCCAGGGTTAGAAAGGAATTTTGAATACCAGAGAGAGTTCTGAACCTCAGAGACAATCGAATCCGAATTGCCCGAGAAAGCCAGGGCCAGGGAGGGAAAAAAGAGTTAGAAAGGAATTTGATAAGGAAACTCCACAGTTAGAAAGGATTTTTGAATGCCAGAGAGAATTCTGGATTTCAGAGACTATCGAATCAGAATTCCCTAAGAAACGCTGGGGCCAGGAAGGGAAAACGGAGTTAGAAAGGAATGTGATAAGGATTTTCCTGGGTTCCGAAGGGGAAGAAGGAACTCCGTTTTCCCTTCCTGGCCCCAGCGTTTCTTGGGGAATTCTGATTCGATAGTCTCTGAAATTCAGAATTCTCTCTGGCATTCAAAAATCCTTTCTACCTTTAGAATTTCCATATCAAATTCCTTTCTAACTCCTTTCTCCCTTCCTGGCCCTGGCTTTCTCTGGCAATTCGGACTCGATTGTCTCTGAGGTTCAGAATTCTCTCTGGTATTCAAAATTCCTTTCTAACTGTGGAAATTCCCTATTAATTTCCTTTCTAACTCCGTTTCCCTGTCCTGGCCCCGGCGCTTCTTGGGGAATTATGATTCGATAGTCTCTGAAGTCAGAATTCTCTCTGGTATTCATAATTCCTTTCTAACTCTTGAAATTCCCTTATCAAATTCCTTTCTAACTCCTTTTTCCCTTCCTGGCCCCAGCGTTTCCTGGGGAATTCTGACGCGATTGGCTCTGAGATTTAGAATTATCTCTGGTATTCAAAATTCCTTTCTAACTCTGGAAAATCGTTATCGAATTCCTTTATAACTCCGTTTCCCCTTCCTGGCCCCAGCGTTTCTTGGGGAATTCTGATTCGATTGTCTCTGAAGTTCAGAATTCTCTCTGGTATTCATAATTCCTTCCTAACTCAGGAAAAATTCTTATTAAATTCCTTTCTAACTCTTTTTTTCCCTTCCTGGCCCTAACTTTCTCGGACAATTCTGATTCGATACTCTCTGAGGTTCAGAATTATCTCTGGTATTCAAAATTCCTTTGTAACCCAGGAAAGAACGTACCACATTCCTTTCTAACTGTGTTTCCCCTTCCTGGCCCCAGCGTTTCTTGGGGAATTCTGATTCGATTGTCTCTGAAATTCTGAATACTCTCTGGTATTCAAAATTCCTTTCTAACTCGGGAAAGTCCGTATCAAATTCCTTTCTAACTCCTTTTTCCCTTCCTGGCCCCAGAGTTTCTTGGGGAACTCTGATTCAATAGTCTTTGAAATTCAGAATTCTCCCTGGTATTAAAATTCCTTTCTAACCCGGGAAATTCCTTATCGAATTCCTTTCTAACTCCGTTTCCCCTTCCTGGCCCCAGCGTTTCTTGGGGAATTCTGACGCGAGTGGGCCTGCGATTCAGAATTCTCTCTGGCATCCAGAATTCCTTTCTATCTCTGGAAAATCCTTGTTAGATTCCTTTATAACTCCTTTTTCCTTCCTGGCCCAGACCTCTCGGCGTCGTAAAAAAACAAAACAAAAAAACAACACCAAAAACGAAATTCCTTTCTAACTCTTGAAATGCGTTATTTAATTCCTTTCTAACTCCTTTGTTTCCGTCCTGGCCCAACCCCCCTCGGCGCCGTAACAAAACAAAACAAAAAACAACCTCAAAAAACGAATTTCCTTTCTAACTCTTGAAATTCCTGATTAAATTCCTTTCTAACTCCTTTTTTTTCCTTCCTGGCCCAGACCTCTCGGCGTCGAAGAAAAACAAAACAAAAAACAACCACAAAAAAACAAACTGCTTTTCTAACTCTTGAAATTCCTTATTAAATTCCCTTCTGACTCCTTTTTCCTTCCTGGCCCAAACCTCTCGGCGTCGTTTAAAAAGAAACAAAAAAAAAACAACCCCCAAACACGAAATTCCTAATTCTTGAAATTCCTTATTAAATTCCTTTCTAACTCCCTTTTTCCTTCCTGGCCCAGACCTCTCGGCGTCGTAAAAAAAACAGACCCCCGAAAAAAAACAGCCAAAAAAACAAAATTCCTTTCTAACTCTTGAAATTCCTTATTAAATTCCGTTATAATTCCCTTTTCCTTCCTGGCCCAGACCTCTCGGCGTCGTAAAAAACAAAACGAAAAACATACCCCAAAAAAACGAAATTCCTTTCTAACCCTTGAAATTCCGTATTAAATTCCGTTCCAACTCCTTTTTCCTTCCTGGCCCAGACCTCTCGGCGTCGTAAAAAACAGAACAAAAAAACAACCCCCAAAAAAACATAATCCTTTCTAACTCTTGAAATTCCTTATTGAATTCCTTTCTAACTCCTTTTTCCTTCCTGGCCCAGACCTCTCGGCGTCGTAAATAAAAAACAAAACAAAACAAAAACAACACAGAAAAAAAAACAAAATTCCTTTCTAACCCTTGAAATTCCTAGTTAAATTCCATTCTAACTCCTTTTTCCGTCCTGGCCCAAACCTCTCGGCGTCGTAAAAAAAAAAAAACGAAACGAAAAACAACCCCAAAAAACGAAATTCCTTTCTAACTCTTGAAATTCCTTATTAAATCCCTTTCTAACTCATTTTTCCTTCCTGGCCCAGACCTCTCGGCGTCTTAAAAAAGCAAAGCAAAACAAAAACAACCCCCAAAACGAAATTCCTTGCTTGCTAACTCTTGAATTTTCTTATCAAATTCCTTTCTAACTCGTTTTTTCCTTCCTGGCTCAGACCTCTCGGCGTCGTAAAAACAAAAAAAAAACACCAAAACAACCCAAAAAACAAAATTCCTTTCTAACTCTTGAATTTCCTTATCGAATTCCTTTCTAACTCCTTTTTCCCTTCCTGGCCCTGGCTTCCTCGGGCAATTCGGACTCGATTGTCTTTGAGGTTCAGAACTATCTCTGGTATTCAAATTCCTCTCTAACTCAGGAAACACCTTATCGAATTCCTTTCTAACTTCCCAACTCAATAGAAATGCATAACCAAAATGCTCTTGGCAATATTTCGAGCCTACATTATTAATTCCCGACACAATTATTGATGTAATTGCATACAGTGCGCACTACAGAAATAATTCCGAAACCAATTAAAGCTGTACTGTAACCAAAAAAAATCAATGGTATATCGTAACATGTTCGAGCTCTCGCCTTCTGTCAGTCCAAGACGGCTCAAAGGCCTCCAAGACGGCCCAAGACGGCCCAAGAGGCCCCCGAGACGTTCCAAGAGAGCCCCCAAGATGGTCCAATACGCCTCCAAAGCGACGCAAGAGACCCGCAAGGCTGCCCTAAAAGGCCCCCCTGGTGCCCCAACACCGTCCAGAGAGGCCCCCGGGACTGACTTGGAATGCGACAGAGGGCTTAAGAGCGCCCAAAGGCGGCTGCCGTAGCCCCAGTGCAGGCCCTGAGAGGCTCCAAAGACGTCCCAAAGAGGTCACAAACCATCCAACAGTCCCTCACGAGGCCCCCATGAGGCCCGAAAAACGAAGAGGGAGGAAAACGATGAAGACGATGGGAGACACCCCGACACGACGAGGCAGATCGCGTCACTGGTTTCGGCCGTCTCAAGGCGAAGGACGAAAGGTGTCACATGTGACGGCCTTCTGGGCGGTGCTCCACCACTGGCCACCCAGAACGCTGCACTGACAACAGCGGGACTTGCCGCAGGCAGCCGGATCAAATTGACGACGAGGATGCCTCTTCGGCCTCCAGCTGCTCCTCCGGAAAGCAGCCAAATGCGTAAAAACATACACCTCTCGGGGATGGACAGACCCCCCTTTAGTAAAACGTGGTTCAGTCAAAACGACCTGAGGCCCAAACCTGGCGGGCGAAAGCCTGGAAAATAACGACCACGGCGCCCTCTCGAGAACCGAAAACGGACAATTCACTAATCGACGTGTCACTGTTGGGGGTTCTGTCCACCCCCGAACCTCTGGAGTTCCCTGTGGACTCCCTGGGCCCGTGCTGGGTTACGGGGCAACGTCATCAGGGGGCCGCCGGCTCAGGGCTGGGAGCACCGACCTGGCATCGGCAAGACGTTGCCGACAGATCGGCGACAGGCCCCCGATAGCAGATCAGCACGTCCCTGGGCGGCATGGGCTGTCGGGCCCCCATCGGCGACGAGTGGGCGGTTTGGGGTCGAGGAGCCTAATCCCCACCCTAACGCTGCCCCTGATCCCCTCTCCATGCCACCTGCCCTGCGCGCGAAGCGCACCGATGGAGGGGGGCCGGGAGCCCAGGGGTGCGGGGAGTGGTCCGGCGCCGACCCCAACTCGCGCGGGCACCGCCAGCTACACACTCGCTACCCACGACTGCCAGACTCCTGCCCTGGATCCCCAGGGCACGCTGGACATGGATTCCACAACTGCCCAGCACTTCCCAAGAGGCCCTCGAGGTCTCGGGGCGCGACTGCAACGTGGTGGACATGGTTCACTGTGGGGGCGGGAGGAAGAGGAGGAGGAGGAGAGGGAGGAGGAGGAGGAGGAGGAGGAGGAGGAGGAGGAGGAGGAGGAGGAGGAGGAGGAGGAGGAGGAGGAGGAGGAGGAGGAGGAGGAGGAGGAGGAGGAGGAGGAGGAGGAGGAGGAGGAGGAGGAGAGGAGGGAGGAGGAGGAGGGAGGAGGAGGAGGAGGAGGAGGAGGAGGAGGGAGGAGGAGGAGGAGGAGGAGGAGGAGGACGAGGAGGAGGAGGGGAACATCGAGCTGGCATCGGCGATACACCGCTGATCGATCGACGATGGGCCCCGGATAGCGAAACCAGCAACCGCTCGTTCGTGGGCGGGGCGAGCCGCTGGGCCCCGACCACCGATCGAACCAGTGGGCGATTTGGGGTCGAGGCATCCGTCCACGAGCCCATCTCCCCCGACGTTGCCCCTGACACCGGCGATGGAGCCGTGTCCTTTCTTTGCCCCCGGTCCTCGGTCTTCGCGCCGAAGGCCTTCGCCTTCGCGGCGCCGTGGAACTCCGACAGGGCTCCCTCCCACTTCTTGTTCTCGGCCGCGGCCTGCCTGAGCCAGGGGGCGTCCAGGCCCAGCTGCAGGGGAGCAGGAGGGGTGCTGCGAGGCGGAGATTTGATCCAGAACCGCGGCCTGGGTACCGAGGTCCTGGTGCCCCAGCGGGCGGCGGACATGGATATAATTTGGCCCCAGGGGACCCGAAGCGGCCCCACCGGCCGCCTCTGGAGGACTTCTGAAAAGTTTTCTGGGACCATTCCCCGAAGAGACCGAAAGCCTCTCAGAAGGCGCGAGGGCTTCTGAGAAGTCCTGCCGCCTCCCGAGGAGGCCTTCTCCTTCTCATTTCCCCCCCTCGTTCGCCGCCGACGCTAGACAAGGGGGGGGGGGGGCAAATTATAATCTTGCTCTGGCGGCCGCCTGTGGAGGTAAGGCCTGTGATCGATCCCACAGGCGGATGGATAAATTCCCGCCTCGGAGGTGCTGCACCTGGCCCCCCTCGCTCGGCAGCGCGCCCCCGAGGGGAGAGCAGCGCGGCCGGGCCTTCTCTCGACAAGCTCAAGAGGCCTCCAGATGATGATGATGATGATGATGATGATGATGATGATGATGATGAGGAGGAGGAGGAGGAGGAGGAGGAGGAGGAGGAGGAGGAGGAGGAGGAGGAGGAGGAGAGGTGTTCGGAGCCTCCTCCGAAGCCGCAGAGGGAATGTCAGACTGCTGGAGAGCTTCTGCAAACAAAAAAAAAAACGCCGCCCTCTGAGCAGCCATGCCCCCTCGCTTCCCCCTTTGGCGACCCCCCCCCGACTGGCTGAGCCCCGGCCCTGCTCCGCCGCCTCGCCGCGCGATCCGTGCAGTATCCCCTCTGAGCCTTCGCCGCGAATGTCCAAAGTGGATTTCCTTTGGATCGCGCTCGACCATGGAATCCAAGATTCAGTGGGGAAAACCCTGGATAGTATCCGAAAGATCATGCGAGAGCTTCGCGTAATCTGTCGAATGACACCCGCACCAAGGGATGTCAGCTCAGGCCGGCCGGCTGGGCAAGTCGGCGGCCCAGAGCTGAAAAAGAGGTGCGCCTGCCCAAGCCCCTCACCGGAAACGTCGAGCAAGCTGTGCTGCTCTGGCAAGGGGTACAATCAACCCGCAGAGTAAGGATAAGCGACTTCCCAAAGTTACCCTTGCATCCTCCCATTCGGCCCAGCTTTGGCCGCTTTCGCTGGCCGCGCCCCGCTCGCAAAGTGTCGGAATGGCCTTCCAAGTCGTTATATCCTTACCATGCGTCTTTCTAGTTTAGGTTGGCTATGCGTGCGTCGCTTGCGCGCGTCGTCGCTTTCGCCAGCCCTTTCAAGAAACAACCCATCTGACCCCTGGCGGCGGAGGCAAAACCGGCCGCGCGCGACGGTTTTCGTGGCGCTTCCTCGGCAGTAAACGCTCGACGTCGACGTCCCCCAACCTCGTCCGAAGTTGGCAAAATACGACGCAAGAGAGTCCAGAAGCAAATCGACACATCGGACCGGGAATCAAAATCAATCGGGTCGGCGGAAGCTGGCAGCGGAAATTGGCCAGCGAACTAGGTCTCCATTGAGAACCGGATGCCAAATCGGAGTCCTAAGCCGAATCGAGCCAGAATCGACCAAATCCAATCTCCATCGAATAGAACCCATCCGGATGAATCGGCATGAGCCCTGCGACGTTGAAAAGGTGATCTCGGTTGTTATGATGATTCTGCGCGCTTTCTGAAGGCTGGGGGCAGCCGGAAACCCTGGGCATGACTTGCCAGGCCCCTCGCAAGCCAACTTCTCTTCGGAAGCTGCCAATTGTGGCCCTTGCCCACGGCGTGCCCAACTCTTTCCGCGCCTCTCTGGAAGTCCTGGAACCACCTGGGCTAAACCACCCCCCCTCCCTCCCGGCACGCGGAGCGCGTCAGAGGTGGCGCTGCAGGCGCCATCAAGAGGGCCCCAGCGCCGATCCGAGAAATCCACGCGGTCTGACATGTCATGTTTACGCGATTGTGAGCGCCCCGAGCTCTGGAGGCCGGCTGCAGTCAAATAGTAGTCGCGCTGATTAACCAGATCCGGATGCCCGCATCTGAGCAATGCGCTCGCCCCAGCTCGCTCATCCAGCCAAGCAGCTCTTCTTTTTAGCCGGGTAGGGGAGGGGGCGAAGCGCATCGCGGCCCGTGTTCGCTCATGCATAACATCAGCACAATGTGCATTGTTCTACTCACCGATCGACGTAAGAAGCGAGCGAGGGCCACTCCTCGCCGGTCGTTGGGGCGGGTAGGCCAGCAGCCGCCCCTCGTGCGCACTGCGTCGTAGCTTGCTAGGCGGGCAGGAAACTCTCCGCCAAGCGCATCTACAAAAACAACGGATGGAATCCACCGGCGGCGCGCCGAGGACATGCGACCGCCGATCGGCAACCCGCCCCAAGCAGTCGCCAGGGCTCGGGCGTCGTAGTCCGCGACCTCGCTCGGGGCCAGGCACAATGCCGCGCCCATTCTGCGCTGCGGTGCAGTGCGAACTTCTGCGCGTCATGACCTAGCATGGGCTGCAGCTGCAACTGCCCCACGTGCGCGTCTGCAGTCATGTCTCGCGCATCGCCGACTGCAGTGTGCCACGCCCCTCTCGATCATCTGTCGGATTCAACTGGCGTGGCCAAGTCGGCGCGCTTAGCGGGCATCTCCAGATCCAGACTAGCAAGGGATCTGAAAGCAGACTTGGCATCGATGAGAAAGGGTACCTCTCATCAAAGGCCGCCTCGTTGCAGTGCGTCTTTGGGTTCTGCTGGGGACATGGTGGCTCCCATATTGAGTTCGCGCACTGTCTGTCGTCTGGTAACAACTCGCAGAATCACGCGCCGCAGGCAGCGCTTCCGCTGCGTAGCTCGCACGCACTCGGGGCCGACGTGACTTGCAGCGTGTGTCCACGAGGTGGACAGAGGCAGCGCCGTTCAGCGCAATGCCGCGGCGTTGCAGGCTGGCCCCGCCGATGTCGTTTGCTATCTCCTCGTCATCGGCATCACTGCTCACGCGTCGATATCCAGAGTCGCCGTGGATATCGACCTCGCTCGCCGGTGTCATTGCTGGGCAGATGTCACCGCGTTCGACCTCTAAACTTGAGAGCGCGTCGGCTCCTGCACTCGTTGCAGCAGGACAGCGCGGACCCTGGACCAAACCTGCTCAATCAGAGCATCGGCCAATGGTCCCCCGCGAACCAATAAGCATGCCTGTCCAAAATGTGCGGCCTTTGCTCGGGTGCAGCCCCAGGTGGCTCGGTGTTAGGTCGGTAAAATTGCTTGACGCGCTCGTCATGGCCCATAGCGGCGTCGACCTTTGCAAATTGAGCAATGTTGAAAAACTGTTCAAACAATTATTATGGGGGGACAATTTAAGCGCGGTTTTCCCCAGCGCTGCAGCGCGCCTATAGAAAAACAAAGAGGCGGGGAAAACTGGATCGCTGGAGACGCCCCCGCGACCGCCCTGGCGCCCTGCGTGCAGGGGCAAATTCCCGCGCGCCCCCTCTTGGCGCCCGGCCGCGCCTGCCACGCCCTGCGACCCCAGCGTGGATAGAGACTGCGCTCAGGGGCCACTCCCTGCGCACCGCGCACCCTGTCTGGGTCGCGAACAAGCCGCGCCTGACACGCCCGAGCCTGGCGTGGAAAGAGACCGCACTTGGGGGCCACCCCTTGCGCGCGCCCCCTGGTGCCGAGAGGGCCAGAAGTGCTTTGAGACGGCCTCCAAGATGGCGTAAGATGGTCCAAGTTGGCAAAGTGGGACAACAGGACAGGAGAGGGGCTAGACCAAGTCACGACGAAGGCTGGATCGCCCTCCAGGCCATAAAGACCCTCAGCAAGCCGTTCAGTTCGAGGCCGCGCCAAGGATACACCAGGTTACAGCGAAGGTCGCACCGCCCTCTGGGCCAAATTTGCGGGGCTACACCAGGATACGATGATAGCCGCCCCTCCTCTGGGCCACGCAAGCGGGGCTACGCCAGTTTACAGCGAAGGCTGGCGCGCCCTCCAGGCTAGACATGATGGGGCTACGCCAAGCTACAATGACATCGGCATTCTCCCTGGTACCGAAGTAAAACAAACGGCTTCGATCGGCATCCATGGTCATTTACAAGGGGACAGATAAAACAAATAATGCTTCGGATGCGCATTAATGGCGGTCGGGATCCGGGGTGGCCGGTTTTGGGCATTGACGCATGCTGCAGCTAGTGCATATGCGCATGCTCAGTTCACAGATGCCAGATGTCTTCTCCGCGCGCCGTGCGTATTCATCGCCGCGAGTCTCGTCTCCGGCCACATTGATCTCGCCAGCGTGTTTTGCTGCGCCTAGGTTCGGGCTCGCTTCGGATTTTCCGTCGCGCTGAACGCCTCGAAGCCCATGCCCTCGCGGGATCGTCCTGAGCTTGCGCAAGAATGATCGCGAAGTATCCCTGGTGCGCTCGCCGGGCTTCGAGCGCTGGGCGCAGCGGTTTGCTTCGTCAGAATTTGCGCATTCCCGCGATGTTCGGGGCGCAGCAGCCGGGCCCGGGGGCGCGCGGAACACGCCCGCCTCTCCTTGTCTCCAGTGGCCGCCGCAAGCTCTGTATAGGTAAAGCTTTTGGGGGATGCTTTACCGCGCGCTTCTCGCGCGCTGCCGCGCATGCTAAATGAAACTCCGGGCTGGCTCGTCGGGCCGCCCCGGATCAGGCTGTGGCGTCTGAGGCCGCGGCGCCCAGGAAGCCCCTCGGAACTCGTCTGGGACGCATCGCCCGCCCCATCTCGCCCGTCTCGTCTTTCACAAACCTCCACTCATGTACGGCGCGAAGTGCCATGCAGTTTGTTGCTTCTGGTAGCATGCGCATGTCAAATCAGTCGTCGTCGTGCCAGATGCGAAATTCGGCGCGCGGGGCCGTCGACAACTTCAAAAGATCCGCTCGTTCCTAGGCCTTCGTCAAAAGGCCGCAGTGATTCATCCGCAGCGAATGCGCGTGTGGACGCTGTCGTAACCTTAATGGGTACTGTGACTATGCCCGCCTGGCCCAGCAGACGACGTTGTTGCAGTGGAAGTACAATTGCGCCACGCCCGCTGCCAAGAATGACTCCAGATTTGCCATTCCAGTACGTATCCAACGCGTAGATGTTGTCGCATTCGCATGGACTGGCTGGCATAGCGTAGGAATCCACGTTGTAGTCGAGCCTGCTTCCAGGCCCAGCAGGCAAACTGCCTTGACCGTCGCGCATCGCAGAGACCAGTATGCACTCGTCTTGTATCATGTGCGTCGGCACATCATACAAACCGGGGCGAGAATGGCTATCAAAGAGTTCTTTATGTTGTGCTTCTCTTTCGTCCTGAGGGTCTTCATACAATTCTTCCATTCTGCGCGCGTTCAAATCCTCTGGCCTGTGAGAATAGCGGTGCCTTCTGCAGGGCTGCCTGACCATATGTTGTGGCCAGTTGCCATATCTTCTCCACTATTCAAGAAAGCGCAATCTGTTTGACAATTAATGGAATGTGGCGCGCTGCCGCGGCCTCGGACGAACGCCCTACCAATGATCCCAGAAGATCTCGGCAAACTGGCCGAAGGATCTCACGGCAAGCTGGCCGAAAGGATCATACTCCAACTTGATCCTGGGCGCTCGGTGGTTTAACGGTTGCAACATCTGCGCAGCGCGCACCGAACCTATATGTAGGGTGTTTTAACAACATGGTGGGAACCAGGGGTGTCAGAACCAAACCATTGTGGCTCGAGCCCGGCCGTTTCCGATCGAACGAATGCCGAATAAACCTGTTCCCTTGCAGTCACGCTGAGGTCAATGCGTCGGGTACCCGAATATGACAGGCGCTGGTTTTCTACATGAGCACCTTCATCGCTTAGTACGTCAAAAAGGTACGTCGCAAGGACCGTTGTCACGCCGTTGATGTATATTCCGCAAGTGCTGATGTGCGAAGGGACCCGTACTGCTATGACGCAGGCCAGACCACCCAACCCTGTTAACAAAGCGGCCGCTGTTTGTTGAAGTGTGGGGCTGCCGCTTGTGACGTTGAGCCACGCGTGGCCTGGACGCATGTCCTGAAATCTACGGTCCCCGCAAAATCCCAATGAGGTTCCCTTGCTAGTGTAACGACGTCTGCACCACGCTGCATGTAGCCTACAGCCAATGCCAATGCCACCGATACGACACCAAAATAATAATACTAATAATAATAAACTGAAACGAATGGGAAAATGCCACTCACTCTTGGGGGTGAACTCTTTCTTGGCGCCACGTTCTGCTACTACGCGTCGCAAGCTGTGGTTGCATGTATACATGTGTGGCGTCGTGATTCAACAGTAGATCCGCGCACGAAGGCCGATAGCCAATCTGATCGCAAATGCAATGCGGAATGTGGTGACGTAGAGTCATGGTAACGTTGTGTGTGCACATATATGAGTGTGTATATATATGTGTGTGTACGTGTGTACGTGTGCGTGTGTGTGTATGTGTGTGTGTGTGAAAGATCGTGTTGGGAATGTGGATGGTGGTAGAAGCAGACGTAACGGTCGTGGTAAACACGTTGCCGGGCTGCCCGCGCAAGTTTCCTAGCTTTGCTCCCCAGAGAAATGTCGGCGAATGGTAGTCCATACTGGTCATCCATTTGGTGCCGTGAATACTTGGAAGCAACGAGTCCAGTCACACAAGTGTGGAGTCAGCCCCGCTACCAAGTCGAAAAGATGCCCCTCACGACTCGGCAGGATGTGTCGATGTGAGAACAGGTAACGATGTGTCCTATCATTCTTCTGCGCTCCAAATATTAAGCATGTTGGCCGATCATGACCTGATGCCAGGTGTGCTCGCACCTGCTCGCTTATCCTGCGAAGCAGCTCCCGTAAGCTTCGTGGATTCTGCTGTGGGGGGGGCAGGGCAGAAGGCGACGAGATGTAACCACCATCGTGTCTGTGGCAGGATGAGGCGTGGACTATGCGAAGGGTTGACTGGCAGGGTTTCTGTAATCTTCTAAGGGGCACCACATCCTCAAGGTCACACCCAGCCGTCTCCCGGGGAGTCCCTGGGCGGCCATGGCGCGTCCCTGGGCCTCTCCAAGGTTGTTATGATGGCCCAGCGGGCCCCAAAGACGGTCCAAGAGGGCCCCAAGTCGCTGAACGATCGCTCGAAGACGCCCAAGATGGCCTCAAGATTGCCCAAAAGGCCTCCAAGGTGCCCCAAGAGGTCTCCCAAGAAAGTTCCAAAAGGAAGCACTTACTTGTTCTCCTCCGGTGTTTGAAGGATTCGGGCGGTCTCGCCTTTTCGGATCTCCGACACTCCCAGACAGCCCAAGGGGCACCCAAGACCACCCCAAAACGGCCCAAGAGGCCTCCAAGAGGACCCCAAGACGGTCTAAGAGCGCCCCAAGATCACCCACGACGACCCAAGAGGGCCCCCAAAGGAGGCCCAGCAGAAAGGGAACACGAACCGAAACTCCGAGCCCTCCGCCCCAAGAGGCCCACAGGACGCCCCAAGAGGCGCCCAATAGCCCCCAAGAGGCCTAAGAGAGGCCCCAAGAGGTCCCAAAACGGGCTCCAAGAGGCCTCGAAACTGCCTCCAAGAGGCCCCGGAGAGGCCTCCGACGGGATCCGAAAGAACATCTGGTGGGCTTACAACCCGCAGCCCAGGCACTGTGGCAGGACTTGCCGTAGGCAGCTGGTTACATATCCACCGCCGCTGGTCAGGCCCGCCCTGGGCCCAGGAGCGGTGTAGACGCTCCCCTGGCTTGGCCGGATCCTGGGCCCAGGCTGCGCCTGGCAAGTGGCGGTGGAGATGCATACTGGATCTCGTCGCCCTGGGGCAGGCCCCCTTCCTGCTACCCAAGCTCACCCTTGCAGATGCTGACCGACACTGGCCCGGGGTCGCAACAGACTCGCCCCACGTAGACGTCGCCGGGCAGTGGGTGCTCCAGAGCCAGCCTCGGGGGACGCTCCTCCACGTCTTCCTTCTCCTCCTTCCTCCTCCTTCCTCCTCCCTTCCTCCCCTCATCCCTCCCACCCCCTCCTCCAAGCCCTGATCCCTCCTCCTGTCCGTCTCCCGTTTCTCCTCCATCTCCTCCTGATCCCTCCTCCTCCCCTAGCACGTACAATTCTGGATTTCAGAATGGTCTCCTCTCTCCGACGGCAAGGTCCAGCCAAACTCTGGCCTCTCCCGCGCACTGTGTCCACACACGGCAACTCAAGCCATGACAATCCGTATCCGTACTAATTTCCTGTGGCAACCTTCCACGCCATCTTGTCGGCTCTTGCGAATCGACACTACATCGGGCTAATCGACGCTATATCGGCGCTGTTTCGTCGACTACCAGACGCTATCGCACGCGAATGCACGCTGGAGACGGAATCACGTCGGTATGTAGGCTCCCATGACTCGCTACCGACCTAGTTGTTGACCGGGACGTCTGAGACATTCTACGTAGCTGGTACTCCCGCTGCAACGTTGGCTCCATTGCGGGATTGGTGCCCTGCTTCCGCTGCCCACGCCTCAACGCGGGCCACACCTGTGGATCCGACTCCATCTCTCGTCGTTGCCTGCCCCTCCGTTCCCCCCAGGAGGGTCTCAAAAGGCCCCGGTTCCCTGCCCTACTGTTCCCCCTGAGCCCGAGCACACCACCGCGCACCCACAATTAAACCAGTTATGCGACGTGGAACGGCGGAGTAAGCGAAGCGATTAAATTGCGAAGGACGAATAGCCGGCCCTGGGAAAAGGGTGGGGGCTTCTGGGGACCCCCTTTCCTCTCCAAAGTACAGGCCCCTTTCGCCGATTGCACAGGGAATGATGGCACAAATCCTGCGACCGACATTTGAGGACCAAAGTCTTCTGGGGCATGACGCCCGGCGGACAGAAGAAGATTCAACGCAACGAGAATGGACACGTGTGATGAGGAAGATTGCCTCTGGCCCCTCTCCTCCCTCTCCCCGCATTCTGAGAAACACGCAAGGAAGGAGAGGACGGCGCTAATCATCACATCAATGACATAAAGATTAGCACGATGAACCAACTAAAATTAGCATAAGCGTTCTGAGCTCAGCGCGGATTTCTTGGATCGGCGCTGGAGACCTCTCCCTGGCGCGCGGAGCGCGCCAGAGGCGGCGCTGGAGGCGCTTCCAGGGGGCCGAATCGCAGATCCAACAAATCCGCACGGAGCTCGAACAAATCCCACCAGCCCTTTGGGCGTGAGTGGTTTAGAGAGCCCGCTCTGTCCTCAACCCCCCTTCTTCCCCTTCGGGGAGGCGTTTACCCCTCCCCCTACCCCCTCCCCCTGGACCTGGAGAGGGTGCCCCGCGGGTCGTTGGAGGGGTCTTTTTCGACTCCTGGGAGGGCCAAAAAACGACGACCCTCACAAGGATTCTGGCCCCGACGGGGGGGGCGAGTTTGGCCCCTCTGCTCTTCTTTGAACCCAAAATCATTGATTTTACTATAGTTTGGGCCCCATTTTGGCCTCCTGAGGGGGCCGCGCTTCTCTTCCCTCCTAGCAAAATCATTGATTTTACGAAGGTTTTGGGCTCATTTTGTTCTTCTCAGGGGGCAGCGCTCATTTGCGCTTCTGAGGAGGTCGCAGGAGGCCCGAAGATGGCCCCAAGAGGCCCCCAGGAGGCTCCCAAGAGGCCTCCAAGAGGCCCCCAAGAGGCCCCCAAGAGGCCCCAAGAGGCCCCCAAGAGGCCCCTAAGAGGCCCCCAAGAGGCCCCAAGAGGCCCCAAGAGGCCCCCAAGAGGCCCCCAAGAGGCCCCCAAGAGGCCCCCAAGAGGCCCCAAGAGGCTCCAAGAGGCCCCCAAGAGGCCCCACGAGGAGCCCGAACGACTCACACCAGGACGAGGGGCCCGAACGACTCACACCACGAAGAGACCCGAACGACTCACACCACGAGGGGCCCCGAACGACTCACACCACGAGGAGCGAACGAGTCACACCAGGAGGAGGGGCCCGAACGACTCACACCAGGACGAGGGGCCCGAACAACTCACACCACGAGAAGCCCGAACGACTCACACCAGGACGAAGAGCCCGAACGACTCACACCACGAAGAGCCCGAACGACTCACACCAGGAAGAAGGGCCCGAACGACTCACACCAGGACGAGAAACCCCAAACGACTCAAATCCACGAGGAGCGCTTTCTCTCCCTCCTCCTCCGCCTCGTCCTTCTCCCGCTCCCCCCACAAGGAGGATGTACAAGGAGGCGGGAGGAAGGAGGAACAGGGGAGATATGCGGGGCCAAACGGACACACGCCTGAAAAACACGACTGTCGGCATGCTTCGCAAGAGTTGCTGCTGTGAGATGGGCTGGTGGGGATACGCGAAGCGTAAAGAATTAAATTTATGCCGAATTCATCTTCGAATACTTTGCCCTTTCTTCCGCCCTCCCTCCTCCCTTCTTCTCACTCCCGATACCGCTACTCCCCGGACCTCGCCCTGAATGTTTTCTGATTCGGATTTCGAGACGAGACCAGCCGTTGCGACGAGGGCCTCCCAGGAGACCCAACAAGGCCAGCGCGAGAGATGGGTGGCGGTATCTGTGCCTTTCCCTCTGAGAGGGGGGGGGGGGGCGGGGGGCAAAGGACGACACTTGCATCTCCCCACAGCCCGCACTGGAGTGCCAACTCTCGGGCCCTCCTGTTGTCCGGCCGCTCCTTCAGGGCACCCATCTCGTCGTAGTACAGGAACGTGGCGGTGTTGGGTGGCGTCGTGGTGGGGCTCTGCCTGCCGCAACACCCCCTCCTCCTGCTCGCAACGCCTCTGAAGTGGAACGTGAGGGACGGACTGCTCCCACGGGGAAGAACATCGACTTGGACTCTGCGATGCATCGCCGACATATCGGCGATTGGCGCCAGTCCTCCTGCTGCTACTGTTCCTCCTCCTCCTCCATTTCCTCCTCCTCCTCCCCCTCCTCCTCTTTCCCCTCCTCCTCCTCCATTCTTTCTCTGTGTGAACAACTCCTCATAGTCGCACCCCGTGGCTGGTTGAAAGGGCGAGTTGGGCGTTTCGCCTGAACTTCCTTACCACTTTATGCCACTGAAGCGTATAATTTGTCAACCGTCCCACAGATGGAGGGCGGGTGGTTTCCAACATGTGGCTCTCGCCTTCGCGCAGCGCATACTCGATTGAAACATGTGCAACGACCTTCATGGATTGAGTGCGGATAGTTTTCAAAATGTGAATTTCTCCTCAGCGCCGCATACTCGTCTTAAACATTTGCAAATAGTTCATTGATTAAGGGCGGACCGTTGTCAAAATGCGGCTCGCTCCTAGCGCCGCGCATACTCGTCTGAAACATTTGCAAAGCGCTTCACGGATTGAGGGCGGGTGGTTATCAAAATGTGGCTCTCGCCTGAACAACCGCGCACACTCGTCGTAACATCTTCAAGAACTTTACGGATTTAGGGCGGGCCGTTTTCAAAATGTTGCTCCCGCTTTAGCGCCGCGCGTACTCGTCTTCAACATTCTAGCAGAACCCGCACGAGTCCCCATGGTCAACGTACCAGAACGGGTATTTTGACAAGACACAGGAGTGCGAAGGTGCAACAATCACGTTGATCCGCGGAGGTGAAATCCCAGGAATGGTGCTCTGGCACGGTTCAAGATCGTCAAGACGCTACAATCAGGTTGATTGGTGGCGCGGGTCTCCTGGGAATGTTTTTTTGGCACGCTTAAGGGTCTTCAAACAATTGTCTCCAAACGAGGCAGTTCGCCCTGTGGAAATCAGCCTTCGTTGAGGCCTATAGAGAAGGAAGTTGGAGGGAGGGTTTCTTCCAACATCGCTGATGAATATTGGGCTTGCAGTGGTGCTCCTCCACCATTGCGTTTCTTGATGAATGACCAATCCTTGCCCCACCCCGAGGCCAGTCGGAAGGGCTGCGCGTGTCGCCTGAGACTTCCTTACCACTTATGATCCTTAAGCTTAAGCATGGACAACAAATTCGCACACGTTCACGTCAAGTGGACTTCAAACTGTGACTCGCGCCTTCGCGCCGCAAACGATCGCACTCAATCTCTGGAATGGTTGAAAGGATTGACGGCGGCTGGTTTTCAAAGTGTTGCTCTCGCCCTGGGGCTGCACACGTTCGTTTTTCACTGGCAAGGGCTTCACAGGTTGAAGGCGGGGGGGCTTCAAACTGTGGCTCTCGCCTTTAGCGCCGCGCGCATTCTGTTTAAAATTATCCCGGCAAAGCAACCTAACATCGATGTGTAGGAGCACATCTGGAAGCATTCCCCTTAAGATTCGGATGAGAATCCAGTTGTAGAATTCTGCTGTTCTCGCAGTCGTAGTCGCATTCGCGATGACAGTCGCAGTGGCAACGGCAGTCGCAGTCACAGCCTCAGCCTCAGCCTGCCTCAGCCTCAGCCTCAGCCTGCCTCAGCCTCAGCCTGCCTCAGCCTCAGCCTCAGCCTGCTTCAGCCTCAGCCTCAGTCTGCCTTCAGCCTCGGCCTCAGCCTCAGCCTGCCTCAGCCTCAGCCTGCATCAGCCTCAGCCTCAGCCTCAGCCTGCCTCAGCATCAGCCTGCCTCAGCCTCAGCCTCAGCCTGCCTCTGCCTCAGCCTCAGCCTGCTTCAGCCTCAGCCTCAGTCTGCCGTCGGCCTCGGCCTCAGCCTCAGCCTGCCTCAGCCTCAGCCTGCATCAGCCTCAGCCTCAGCCTCAGCCTGCCTCAGCATCAGCCTGCCTCAGCCTCAGCCTCAGCCTGCCTCAGCCTCAGCCTCAGCCTGCTTCAGCCTCAGCCTCAGTCTCGGCCTCAGCCTCAGCCTCAGCCTGCCTCAGCCAGCCTCAGCCTGCATCAGCCTCAGCCTCAGCCTCAGCAGCCTCAGCCTCAGCCTCAGCCTCAGCCTGCATCAGCCTCAGCCTCAGCCTCAGCCTGCCTCAGCCTCAGCCTGCCTCAGCCTCAGCCTCAGCCTGCCTCAGCCTCAGCCTCAGCCTGCTTCAGCCTCAGCCTCAGTCTGCCTTCAGCCTCGGCCTCAGCCTCAGCCTGCCTCAGCCTCAGCCTGCATCAGCCTCAGCCTCAGCCTCAGCCTGCCTCAGCATCAGCCTGCCTCAGCCTCAGCCTCAGCCTGCCTCAGCCTCAGCCTCAGCCTGCTTCAGCCTCAGCCTCAGTCTGCCTTCAGCCTCGGCCTCAGCCTCAGCCTGCCTCAGCCTCAGCCTGCATCAGCCTCAGCCTCAGCCTCAGCCTGCCTCAGCATCAGCCTGCCTCAGCCTCAGCCTCAGCCTGCCTCAGCCTCAGCCTCAGCCTGCTTCAGCCTCAGCCTCAGTCTGCCTCGGCCTCAGCCTCAGCCTCAGCCTGCCTCAGCCTCAGCCTCAGCCTGCCTCAGCCTCAGCCTCAGCCTCAGCCTCAGCCTCAGCCTCAGCCTCAGCCTGCGGCCCTCAGCCTGCCTCAGCCTCAGCCAGGCCTCAGCATTCAAAATGTGGCCCGGGAATGGAGTTCTGGGAACTCGAAGAACACGAAGTGGCCTACAGTTGGCTCCGGGCATTCAAAATCATGCCCAGGAATGGAGTTCTGGGAACTCGAAGATCACGAAGTGGCCTACAGTTGGCTCCGGGCATCCAAAATGTGGCCCGGGAATGGAGTTCTGGGAAGTCGAAGAACACGAAGTGGCCTACAGTTGGCTCCGGGCATCCAAAATGTGGCCCGGGAATGGAGTTCTGGGAAGTCGAAGATTTACAGTTGGCTCCGGGCATCCAAAATGTGGCCCGGGAATGGAGTTCTGGGAAATAGAAGAGCACGAAGTGGCCTACAGTTGGCTCCGGGCATCCAAAATGTGGCCCGGGAATGGAGTGGCCTACAGTTGGCTCCGGGCATCCAAAATGTGGCCCGGGAATGGAGTTCTGGGAAATCGAAGAGCACGAAGTGGCCTACAGTTAGCTCCGGGCTTCCAAAATGTGGCCCGGGAATGGAGTTCTGGGAAATCGAAAAGCACGAAGTGTGTGACTGTATGCGAAAAACGATCCCCCCCGGCAAACCCCAACGGCCCCCCAACTGCCACCCAACTGCCCCCAACGGCTGCCCAGACCCCCCTGTGGAGTAATGTTGAAGTAATGTTGAAGTAATGTGCTGCTCTCTTTTGACACTACTAGAAACCTATCAGTCTTCGATGTTAGGTAAGTAAAGGCTTACAGGGTTCACGGATTGAGGTTGTTCTGAGGGCGGGCCGTTTACAACATGTAGCTCTCGCCTCACCGCCGCGCGCATTCTGCTAACAAGCTTACAACAGCTTCATTCATTGAGGGCGGGTGGTTGTCAAAATGTGGCTCTCGCCTCAGCGCCGCGCGAACTCGTTCCAACAACTTGCATGAATTTCGTGGATTGAGTGCGGATGGTTTTCACAATGTGGTTCTCGCTCCTGGGCCACGCACGTTCGTTTCACAAATTTGTAAGGCTGTCATGGGATTCCATGGTTGACGTACCAGAAGAGACGTTTCGGAACGATTCAAGATCGTCAGGGCGCGACAGTTACGTTGATCCGCGGTGGTGAAGTCCCAAGAACGGCATTTTGGCCAGACTGAGGATCGTCAAAGCGCACCGGACAGGTTGATTCGCGGCGTTGGAGTCCCGGTAATGATTTGTTGGTAAGCTTCAGGCTTCGAACACCTGCCTCCCAACGAAGCAGTTCCCTGAATGGAAATGGATCCTTGTAGGGGCCTGTGAAGGAGCCTATAGGGAAGGTGTCTCATAACAACGTTGATGACTCTTGGGTCTTGGGTTTACACTGAACCTCCTCCTCCTCCCCCGGCTCCTGCTCCTGCTCCTCGCCTCCTTCTCCGCGGCCGCCGCCGCCTCGCCGCCACCGCCGCCGCCACCGCCGCCGCCACCGCAGCCGCCGCCGTCGCCGTCGCCGCCGCCGCCGCCGCCGCCGCCGTCGTCGTCGTCGTCGACGTCGTCGTCGTCGTCGTCGTCGTGGTCGTCGTCGTCGTCGTGGTTGTCGTCGTCGTCGTCGTCGTCGTCGTCGTCGTCTTCGTCGTCGTCATCGTCTCAGCTGTGGTCGTCGTCGTCGTCGTCGCCGTCGCCGTCGCCGTCGCCGTCGTCATCGTCGTCGTCGTCGTCCTAGTCGTCGTCGTCCGTTCTGGTCGCAACGGGGCCGCCGCGCTGCTGGACCCTGCGCGGGGCCGATTGTGCCCGCTGGTCTCCACCCGCTTCGTGCCGCCCGTCCCCTCCTCGTCCCTTTCCGCCTCCGTCTGCTCCCCCCGCCTCCACTTCGGTGGCTGCCGCGCCACGGCGCTGTCGCCCCTCATCGCCGTGCGCCATTTGGAGATCGTTCTGCATTTGTTTGCGACAACCCAAGTGTTATCTGGTGGCGAGGGGGGGCGGGAGGTGCCAGCGGATGTCCGCGTCGTTTCGCTTCGGGCAGCCCCACGTATGCCCGCGCGCACAAGTGTTTCATACCCACTTCGGACCTGCGTAACCGACAAAGTCAAATTATCATGGGAAGGGTTGGGCGGGCCCGATAACCCGAATATCGCCGGGCCCTAAAATAAGTTGCTTAATCGTAGTAAAGAACGAAGCCACGAAAACGGCAAAATCGGACAAATATAAATCGGAGACCTCTGCAATCTGGCTGTTCTGGAAGATGCATCAAGCGCCGCGGCCTTCTCAGAACGCCCCAGAAACGAGAGCGATCCGGAACGCTGCCCGACGGATTTATCCCTGTCCTACGCGCGACTCGAGTGAGCCCGCGACTCAAATAAGTTCAGGCACATCTGATCTTGCACTTCCCGCC